GATCAAAGGGGATACAATCAAAATGAACGTGTAAACAAAGACACATTTCAGGTCAACAGCAACCACTCAAGATCGTGATTAACAGAACAAGCTACGCGTCAAACATGGAGAAATTCGAATGCTTCAATACAGCTATTTGAAGTTTGTGCTGCTGATGTTGTTCGGAAGAAGAACAATGAAAACTCCACAACCAAAACATTCAGCTCAGAGAACGAAACACCACCACAATATATATAGATGTATATATATTTGTAATATCCTAATGAGTAGGAGAATTTGAGATTTTCTTGTCTGATGTTTCGTGATTCAGTGTTAGAGAATACTTTAGAAAAAATTAATTAACGAATGAAATTAACTGAAGTTTAATTAGTACAAAATGAAACAAACCATAAAAAATTATTTAGTACGATTAATCAATATTGAAAAAGAAAACAGGTCTGACCAAACTAATGTCATGTGACTCCGCAAGTATTTGAATGCATTCATCAATGTGAAAAATATGACATGAGTGATAGTGAAAGGAAAGAGTTGAATTTGTGAGGATGACAATCGATTGGGATATATATGAAAAGAATCGGACAAAACAGCTTCGATAGATAGATAGATAAATAGATAGTTAGTCCAAATAGGGTGTGGATTAGTTAAGGTCTTCGTTTCGATTGAGAGCAGTAAGATAGATGGTAACATCATATGGAGAGCTTTAACTACTTACATTCTCTCATATTATCTTATCTACACTCAAGATAATTAAATTTGTTTATTTAATCTCTATGAAGAAGTAACTTACATTGTGAGTTACTAAATGCAGAACATTTGTAAAGTTTTAAGCTCACTCGTTTACTACAAATATACTACTGTTTATTATGTAATAAAGATATGAAAATGTTCATCGTAGTTAAATTGTTTGTTTATATTCTTAAATTTATTTCTCCGCCTTGAATTCCAGACTTATTTAAACATTGACACGTACAATAGCTGTAATTTTTTCATTATTATTGGTAGAAGACAGTGTAGGGTTCGTCACTTAGTATGCTTGAGGCTATTACGAGTTCACCTTAGTCGATAAACGCGAACGAGACAATGAACCAGCGTCCAGATAGGCTAACTTGAATCCAAACGGTAAGCGTAGAAAGGCATATTCTACAAACACCCAGCAATCACACGATACAATCAAGCATACAACTCTCGTTTATTTATACAACATAGAAACGTCATTGGTACAGTTACGAAAATAGCACACTAAAATACACAGCAGCAAATCACAGCCATGGATTTTCCAGGTGAGAATTGAAATCTCAAGGTCAACTGATCAGCCCATGCTGGCAAACATGAAAACCAAAATAAGTCATTTATCAAGCGAATTTCGGGGATCTAACATCCCCAACAGACAGTTTTTTAAAAAAACCTCAAATTCATTTGTGCTAATCATTCACAAATTCAAAATTACAAATCATTCTTCAAATTTGAGTTATTTGTTCAAAGTTGAACATTGAAACGTTATATTGTTATATTGGTAATCATAATCATCATCAGTTATACTTTTGTGAACATTGAAAATTGAATTCAATTAGTTAATTTGTCTAAGTAGAAAAGATTAGTTATGCAATATGATCAATATCATCTTCATTTATTGACTGTCAATGTAATAATAATAATATTTGGAGTATCGAAACCGAAACTGAAAATCAAATTATTGATTGATCATATAAATTTTGAAATGTTTTCTATAAGACAAATGGATCTCTGAATTATTAAAACTTTCCATTGATGAATGAATATCCGAGAGTTTGGAATATGTATGAGACCATTATAAAAGTAGTTCAGTTAATAGGCAAACATATGATCTTATTTGACTTTCCGGGTTTCATTCAAAATGTTTTGCTACATACATCTTGAAAACACCGTTAGATATTAAATGCTTATGAGGAACACATATTAACCAAACAGACAGCTTTAAATGTACACATATCGGAAACTATATTGGACTGCACTGTTGAATTTTGAGGGTGATCTAAAACACAACTTATTTCTTACTTTGTCAACTGATCATCATTAATCTGATTGAAGTCATTAGTCACTTTCATTGCACACAATATACAAATCCTAGTTATAATGAAAAAGTCAAACTTTGGATACTCAAATTGTGAGAATTCTGATTTCATAGATTCTGTTTGTGGTCATTCCTTACTTATCTCATTCAACAATTTATCATAGAGTAATGAATGAAATATTTGGCAATAAATTCCTACACAAGTTGTTATGAGATCCATTTATGAGGTCAGTTTAAGTTAGTGATTACAAAATAGATAGCCAGTTCGTTCATTCTTTTCAATTTTAAAACCTCGGTATTCAGCAATAACTTTCTTTTGTATTTCATTGGACAAAATATATTTTACGGTTTGGGTGATGATAAGGTGTGAGAATAGGTTAGGAAAAGTAAAGAATATATTTTAAAACACTTGAAACATTGAGCAGAGTAGAATTAATGATTATCGATCGTTAGTGTTTTGATTCATAAATCATCCAATAAGACAACGAATCTTCTTAATTATTAATAAATTAGATGATGAGATTTTGAGATATTGAAAATCAACTGTATATGACTGTAACATTGTACAATATATTGTGGTGCGCGCTACTTATAAGTAGTAGGTGACACGAGTAAAAACATTAATGTCTGGCAGCAGAAGATGGAGGAAGATCATGAAAGGAAGAGCTGCAACACAATGAGATTTGTATGAAACGCATGAACAGTGAAATGTCAGACAACGGATTGATGTTTTGCAACAGGAACAGTCCAGTTCGATATGATGGATTGATATTTTGCAAATTAACCGTTTACGATATGGTTTTTCTATTTTACCAATTAACTCTGTAATTTGTGATAACTACAATTCGGTTGCCCTCACCTGTGTTCTCCTTCACTACAATATGAAACTGTCTTCTTTATTAAATACAACCGATCCACTTAACTAAAACATAAACTAATCAAGAATAGTATTCAAATAACTGGAAAGTTTTCTTTTTGATAATTCGTTATTTATTCAAGTCAAGAATCGATCAATGTAAAAACAGAATTAGAAACCTGAACTAAGTAGACGACCGTTTCGTCTTGGTATGGAACTCCTTGGCAGTGGTCTGGAGGTAGGCAGCTCGTGCGCAAAGCGAAGATCCTGGTTTCAAATCCCACAAGTTACAGGATTCGTGTATGCACACTGATAATGAGTCTTATATGAGGACGAAACGGCCATCCAGTGCTTCCAGGTTTATAATGCAGTGTCGACCATTGATCGATTCATAATTTGAATACGTAACTCAACAATCTCCACAATCCCATCATGTGAATCCATCATTTATGCAATTAAACATGTCATTACTGCAATTGAATAAGACCAATAACAAATGAGAAACTGATAGAATTTGACAGAATAGAACCATTAATTACATTTGACATATTCATATCTAGTTAACTAAAAAAAGTTTAATTCAGTCAGAAATCTATCTGATTAGATGTAAAAAAATTATGCATGAATTGTATGAATTGTATGACAACTCATTTTTCCAATGACATTTACTGGCAATGTCTGGTAATGTCATTTCTGATAGACAGTCGTTGTACCACTCATCAATCAAACTACAAATCATTCATCATTTCAATTGAAGATATTTATTGGCAGGGAACTAGATTTTCAGCTGATTGGATAACACGATTTCTAACCTTATCTCACTCACTGAATTATATTTCTTGAATAGTATCTTCGATCCCTAATTTTCCGGATTAACACTAATACTTCAACTACCTCTATTACTATGGAATTCGAACTGACAATTGCGTATCTGTGCTAATGTGGTATGATAATTTGAATTGATGTACGTATATTCTATGTTGACTGAACCTGTCAACTAATCAAATCATTCATTCAATATACGTGGTCTTATCAACTAACTATTGTAATTTAATTTTTACAAATGTATAACTTTTCATTATGAAGTTGTTGGGGATGTTAGATCCCCAGAACTCGCTTGATAAATGCCTTATTTTGGTTTTCACGTTTGCAAGCATGTGCTGATCAGTTGACCTTGAGATTTCAATTCTCACATGGAAAATCCATGGCTGTGATTGGCTGCTGTGCATTTTAGTGTGCTATTTTTGTGACTGTCTCAAGGACGTTTCTATGATGTATAAATAAACGAGAATTGTATACTTGATTGTATTGTGTGATTGCTGGATGTTTGTAGAATATTCCTTTCTACGCTTACCAAAACTTCTGTTTTACCGTTTGGATTCAAGTTAGCCTACCTGGACGCTGGTTCATTGTCTCGTTCACGTTTATCGACTAAGGTAAACTCGTAATAGCCTCAAGCATACTTAGTGACGAACCTAACATAATTATTAAATGAACTTTTTTTAAGGATATAATAATGTTTTTCGCAATTTTCTTCAACTCACATATTCAATTTAGTATTTCTTTCCTCTCTATTTCCTTTTTTTTGTTTTCCACAGAATATGATATTTCATTGAGAAAAAATTTAAATTTTCACTATTACTACACTTATTGGTTCATGATCATTATTATTGTTGAATTATGCACGATAAAAATGTATCATTTCAGTAAAACAACCGAATTGACTAATTTGTCTAATTCCAATTGGACAATAGTTGAACATTTAATACAAACTTATGCAGCGGAAAATTTAAGTAAGCATCCATTAAATTCAATGTTCAATGTTAAACATCATAGAAATCAACACCACCACCAACAACAACAGTATTCTCATGAAAATGCAGAAAATTTAAAAAATTACAATGAACATCAAGCTTTAGCATTACATATAAATTATGGTCGATCTGAATTCGGTACACATCGTATTTTATGGGTAAAATTAATTCTTGCCATTATATATGGTTTACTAGCATTTATGGGAATCACCTCAAATTTAATTGTTACATATATATTAATATTTATGCGTCGACGTGCATTAACCAGTATAACAAATATCTTTGTACTTGTTTTAGCTATATCTGATATATTATTATGTAGTTTTAATATGCCATTACAAGCTTATTATGATTTAAAAGAGACAATAATTTTAAAAAATGAAATTTTATGTAAATTTATATTTGCATGTTTTTGTTTACCAATGCATATATCTTGTTTAACTATACTATTGATCGCATGTGATCGTTATCAAATTATCATTTATCCGCTAAGACCACGTATGTCAGTGAAATTAGCTTTAATATTAATTGGTATCACTATAATAATCAGTATTATTAATGCTATACCAATTGCATTATTCAATATCGTAAGTAATGCTATACATACACCAATTGGTGAATTACAAATAATCATTGAACGACAACCATATATGTATCAATTTGTACCAGGTAATATGCATAGTTATTGTGTTGAGAATTGGCCAAATCCAGAATCACGATTATTATATTCCATAATTGTATTTTTTATACATTTTTTTATACCGTTAATATTAACAGCTGGATTATATGGACATATTTATTGTCGTCTACATGAACGACGTTTTCGTAAAGGTTCCGTGGAACGTAAACGTAGAACAAATAAAATTTTAATACGTATTGTAATATGTTTCACATTATGTTGGACACCATGGAATTGTTTTTCTTTATGGCTTGAAATACATGCATATGAATTACAGAAAAATTCGTTGACATTATCAAATTTTTATCAGACAACAATACAAGAAGAATATAAATTAGCTCAGTTAAACAACTATTCATTATTGAATAAATATAATCATACAAGTGTCATTGATACGCTGGATGTAATTGGTGAAATAAATAATACCTCTTCTTCTTCGTCTTCTTCTCCTCTTCACCATCATCGTAATCACGAATTACAACAACAAATAACACAAATTAATCAAACAGACAGAAATTCACAAAATTATTATCTACATCCAATGGGTGGTAATATTAAACTCATAGATTTAAGTTTAAAATTATTAGCTATGACATCAGCATGTATTAATCCATGGTTATATGGTTGGTTTAAAAAATTTGTATTTGGTATGACAAAAAAATTAATGCGTAAGCTGAAACGATTGAAATGTAATAAAGATGATTTATTGAATATTGTACAATATTTTCATGAAAAATATAATATTTGTTTTACTAAACGATTACCATGGTTATATATGAATAAAAAATTACATAATAATACTAATACTAATATTAAAGATAGTAATCAGAAGATAATAAATGATTTACAAAAAATTAAAAATAAATCACAAGATTATGCTACAAATCCATTAGGAGGAACTGCTGATTATCAAGAAGAAGGAGAGGAGGCAGGTGAAGATGATAATGATGATGAGATGAGAAAAAATTCAAAATTAAATATTTACATTTGTTATTCTTGTGGTTTTGTGTGTACATGTCAGCTGTCATTAAAATCATTTAAACGTAAAGATCATTATCAATACATAAAACGTTATCATGATAATGAAAGTTATTATTCAACTGAACCATTAACAAAACCATTGAATGAATGTTCAGAACGACGTATCATTGTTGGTGAAGCAATGATTACTGATTTAATGAAACAAACAAAAAATAATTCTGCTAAATGTTCCACATCAAATAGTAGTCGTCAATATGGATCAAAAAGTTCCAATGGTCAATTAGGTGCTGGTGGTGGGAATAATTTGATCAATAGCATAAATCATCATAATGACAATAAACCAACGGATACAACAAATTCATCTACGAATAAATATGGAAAATTCAGCAAAGAAAATTTACCATCAAAATCGATGTACAGTAAATTTAATCGTAAAACATCATCACATATTAGTGGTATATCATTTGGTACAATGAGTTATTTAGATCCTTCAACTAAACAAACAAGTTTATTTCCATCATCTGGTATATTACCAACACCTAGAAGTAGTTTTTTAAATACTGGTAGTCAAATTTCACATAATAATGAAAATCAAAATCAAGATATTGAAAATACAGAACAACATACACATCTTCATAATTCTCCTCATCAACAACAACCACAACAAACTCAACAATCACATGAAATACCTATGAATGAATTAATTTCAAATCAATTAAAACCGTTATTATCTGATTCTGTTGATTCAATAAAACAAGAAAATGAAATTTCTAATGAATATGACAATGTATTGAGTATCAATGTTCCAATGTTACAACCAAAAAAATCAATAAATCATTTAGAATTAGATCAATTAAATGAACAATCGAATGAGTCATCATCTATTCCGCTTCAAACTATGCTTCCTGTTCAAGGTCATCTGAATTGTGATATGAGTCATACACATATTTTACCTGAACTTATTCGTGTGAATGTTCATTCACCATTAATTGAATCAACAGATCATGATCATATTAATAATAATAGTAACAATAATGATATTGATCATAAAAATAGTTCTTTAAATGATGATATTCGATATGAAGATAAAATTTGTCGTAAACTAGAATTCAATGATAAAACTATTCTAAGTCGAAATAGATTAGAAATTAATTTATCTGATTCATATGCTGCTACAATACCATTTGTAGATGAAGAGAATTCATTCAGTGAAGGAAATGTTTCTTGTCAAATTGTCAATAATAGAAAATGTTCATTGAATAATAATAAAAATAATAAAAATAATAATAATAATAATAATGAACATATTACAATCAATCAATCACAAGATAGAATGAATATGAAGAAATCTGTAAATCAAATAAACACTTTAAATTCTCTATTGCCATCATCGATTCAAACAACATCAGCGTTAACATCCCAACCAAAATCCCAACCAATCAATAAACTTGATCATCATATTATTAAAGAGAAAAAACCTAGAAAATTATCAATTTATATGAAAAATTCCACAAGACGTATTAGTAATGGTATGAATTTATTTATTACACGTAAACAAAAACATTTAGAAAAACATGAAATAATACCTAAGACAATTGTATCAGAACGTCGTTTAAGTTTTCCAAATGTAATAGATAGGAAAAAATTGAATGAAGATAAAAAAATATCATTTAAAAAAAAATCTTCCGATTTATTTACATCAGCAACAAGTGATGAAACATCGGATTTAGATGATTTTGTTCATATTAGTCGTATGGTTGCTATGGAAGTGATACGTAAACGTAAAATATGTGAAAGAGCACAAAGTGTTTGTGTCGCATTGACATCAGAAAATAATAGAACTAATAATAATGAGAAAACTACAAATACCATTAAACAAGAACACATATCATCTTTTAATAAACGTAAAAGTTTCACTGGATTTCATCGTGGTTTTTCATTGTCCTCTTCTATTCATTCATCAAATAAACGAAGATTTACTCAGAATTATTTAACTACAGATAAATAAGTTTTAATACCATGATGGTGGATATTTGAAGAGATGATTTGTAAGAACACTTTTATGAATTGTTTTGAATCAAAGTATTCAATCATTTAGCGAAAAAAAACTCTGTGATAATAACGGCAGATTTTTTTAAAAAATTGAACATTTAACTATATTTGTATGTACAATCATTTGTTCTGTGAAATATTTTATTAATATTATATGGAATTAGTTTTATTATTCTTTTTTTCGGCGTTATTTTTCCTCTTATAATTTGATGATTTTTCCTATCATTGTTGACATTTGTCTCTGTGTGTGTCTGTGTGTAAGTGTATTTCTCTGTGTACTTTATTTGTGTCAATATGTCCGTCCGTTCAATTGTCAATTCGTTTGTCTATTCACATTTGTATTGCCATCCGTCTATTTACTACTGTATTTCGTTTATTTTATTATCTTTTAAAAAAGAAATTATTTAAAGACGGAAAATGTTTCGTGATAAATAGTTTCGTCTCTTTTTTTTTTCTTTTTAATTTACTGTACTGTAAATATGTATGTAAAATTTTTTGTGTTTCTTTGTAAAAAAAAATTATTTTAGATGAAAAAGAGAAATAAAAAAAACGAATTGGAATGAAATATTTGTGAAAATTTGGCATTGTTTTTATTTTTTCCGTGCATAAGTCATCATAATATAGAGCGAGTTACTCGTGATCGGTATTGATTTTTACTTTGATTGTGCAACAATGCATACATGTCACACACCAACTTTAACAAGCTCAAAGTAGCTAGTGAGGATATTTATCAAGAACTCGTTATTTGAGTTTGTAAACATTGATCGATTCATGTGATGTCAAAAAGTAACTCAATAATCTTCATAATGCCCCATACTCCAAATTACCTGACTCACTATTGACTAGCTTCGTGAGTAGTTTTGTCCGAGTTTTAGTGAGAAGTCGTGATCAAAAGGAGTTCAACCCTGTCCGGGTGTGGAAGCAGTTCCCACTGAAAACAGTGGATAAGGTTGCAAAAGACCATGTACTGGTCGAAGTTTGACATTAACACCGTTGGATGCCGTCAGCTTAATGGTCCAGAGGTGAAACGTTCACTTGCAAGACGAAAGGTTCTGTGTTCGAATCCTACAAGTAGCAGGAGCACTGCCACTGATGAGTTCCATACCAGGATGAAATGGCCGATCAATGCTTCCAATTTTCTAATGGTGGTCTAACAGTGATTCATTCATCATTACAAGGTAGAGATAGTTGTTAGGTTCAAAATCTCAAACATAATAACATAAATGCATTTATTATAATCTGTTTTCATTTCCTCATAATTTTGATAGGACTAATGATAATTATTTCGTTAGTTGATTCAAAGAATAAACTATTTGTTGGTGATGTTAGATCTCCAGAACTCACTTGATAAATGCCTTATTTTGGATTTCACGTTTGCCAACATGGGCTGATCAGTTGACCTTGAGATTTCATTTCCCACCAGGAAAATCCATAGCTGTGATTGGCTGCTGTGTATTTTACTGTGCTATTTTATTGTGACTCTACCAAGGACGTTTTATATGATGTATAAATAAACGAGAATTGTATACTTGATTGTATTGTGTGATTGCTGGGTGTTTGTAGAATATATTTTCTACGCTTACAAAGCCTTTTGTCTTCACGCTGGGATTCGAGGCAGCCTACCTGGACACTGGTTAACTCGTAATAGCTTCAAGCATACCTAGTAACGAACGTAACACCACTATTCAATCTTCAATAGTGAAGTTACTTACAGGGTTCATAATTTAACTTTAATTTAATTTAATTTAAATATTCAAATAATAGTATCATTATTTTTTCATATAAATAAATAATACACATTATAACTTACAGTAATGTAAAAAATGAATTTGCATTTTTAATGAATTAAAATGTATTTTGAAATTTATATAAAATATTTATTTAATTAGCATTTAATTTAAATTAGGTTTATTGTAATCAATGAACAGTGATTTTTTTGGGGGTAGAGTTTTGGAGGTTTGTATTTTTACACATTTGAAATCATCAATCGATCAATCATTGTTAGACTGCCATCATTAGAAACCTGGAAGTACTGGACGGCCGTTTCGTCCTGGTATGGAACTCATCAGTGGCAGTGCGCATCCACGACTCCTGCTCCTCGCAGGATTCGAACCCGAGACCTTCGGTATTGTGCGCGAACACCTAACCATTGCACCAACAGGACGGAACGGCCGTCCAATGCTTCCAGGTTTCTAATGGTGGCAGTCTAACAATGATTGATTGATGATTTCAAATGTGTGTAAGAACAGTGATTTGTTTAATTCATGAACTTATTTAAAAAAAATAACATCTGAAATTCCTCATAGATTGGTACAATTTCAAAGTAGTATATGAAATGTTTACACAATACTTTGATTTCCTTATGATTAAATAACTTTTGAATTATGCAAAATGTTGACAACGCTACACACACACACAATCACATACACAAGTGTTCTGGGGTTAAGACAACAAACAGTCTTACTACTGAAACATCTATCTGAATGATAACTTATATAGAGTTCATTGGTTTCTTTTTGACATCCACATGCTGTATCTTACCCCTTAACGATTAGTAGGCAAGTTGACTGAATTGTACGATTTTGTGAAAAATATAAATTGATTAACATTTCAACTTTTATTTTAAGCATCAGTGTCTGGCAAAATTTTCGAAATTTCTATTTGTTAAATAGGTAACATATGTGTCTATTAGTGAACAGGAATTATTTAATGGTAGAAACGTTTAATTAACTCCGTTTGAATCCCCTCTAGGGTTAAATGCCAGTCCTACACCAGCGGATAAGAGAGAAGGGTTG